AGCCTTTGCTTCTAGAAAAGGAGGGAAATGAGGAACGAATTGATTGAACTTAAGAGAAGTTGTCAGGCGGCCGAACACTAGGAAAAGTTGTTATGGACAGGGGTCTTAACGCACAGGGTAAGACCCTATCACATTATTTCCCTGCAGCTTCAGCTGTGATTCTGTGCAGAAAACTGTGCACGTGACAGACGCGTCTCTTCGCAACCGAGATTGAAACACCGCGTTCTAGCTTCCTACAACTCAACCAACACCCATCGAAGCATCGCCGAACAAACTATGGTCAGAGACTCAGGGCACATAATTGGGATGCCGACAATTGGTTTTTTTGTGTCATCTTATGCCGCGCTCCGCAACATAATCAATCGAGATGCCAAACATGGCGGGCAATGTAGAAAGAAGTTCGCCAGCAGGGGTAATTCTTCACTGTCCGCGAGCGCAATCGTCAAGAATTCAAAGAATATGTCCTGCGGAATCGAGCGGAGTTCGAGTCAAAGATGCGTTTAGTGAAGGACACATTTGAGGCGTCTGAGGAGCAACGCCTGCTCAGCATAGCTCGTCCTTTAATATTAAAGATGGCGGCAAGTGATGACTTCTGCCCTCGAACTCCCCAATGACGCTGACCACATTCTGCAGGTCTTTGGTATCGATGGAGCTTGAAGACAAACCATCCCAGCATATACATTCACAAAATTCCTGGAATTCCCCGTCGAAATCCAATTGAAAATCTAGCATTTTGCGGCCCGATGGCAAGAACCTAGGAAATATGCAATCAACAGGGCGGAGGATGAGGGGGCCATACCTCCGTATCCGGTAGCACTGGAGACTTTCGGTATCTGCTGGCTCCGGCAGAATTTATCACTATATCGAATTTGAATGCGACCCAAAACCCGTTCCTATGTAGTGTCCTACACATCTGCCGTACTTCTCGAATCGTCGGGCTCAAAGTCTTGTCTCTTTTTCAATGCACAGATGCACCAGCTGCGGGACGTGCTCAGCGGTACTATCCAACTCTGTACGACGAATTCTATATTGGTAACGGAGGGTGGGAAGAATACAAGTTCTCGTTGACCTTCTCGTCAAGAGAAACACGACAAGGCCTCTTGCAAAAAGTGTCCATGAGGATTTTGAGCGTCTGCGTGCGATGCGCAACCTCATTTTGGATTTGAGGATATTTGCAGCTATTCATGTCGATCTTTGGGCAGAATTCTCCCATCTGGAACGGCTCACCATTGTAATGTATCCGGAAGAATTCGTCGACGAGTTCGAAGATGAAGATATTTATAACTACCAGCCTTACGGTGCGAAGTTTGTTAGAGCGAAGGCCGACACGAGGTTTAGAAAGCGATCCACTTGGATCCACAAGCAAGTAACAAATGCACTTGAAGCAGCCAAAGAGACCCAACCCAATTGGATAACCTTCAAGGTCGAGGTCATGATCCGAGCCACAGAGACCAATGAAGATGCTAGGGTTGAGGTCGAAGGCACTGAAGCAAGCATGTCCCCTGGCGCCGATGGCGCCGTCGAGGTTGAAGAATTTGATGATTCAGCCTGGTACGAACAGTTGAAGTCCAGAATGACCCATCGCGTCAATCAGGCCCAGCTCAGACGATTGAAGCATTGGCATCATCCGAGTCGAAGAGTCACGTTATTGGATATTGTTTCAAGGGAAGCTCGAGGGAGAAGCCACAAGGAGTACTTCAGCGACAGTGAGACGGAGGACACCGACAGAGACGATTTGGACAGAATTTACGAAGGCTATCCCTTGTAACTCCCTCTAGCAAGGAAAAATTGTTTACGTTGCTATGCATCAACAACGCCAGAGTCACATCCATAGCAGCAGTCATCGTCTCCTGGTGCTTCCGCTTCCTAAACCTCTTCCTGTTGGAAATATAGGACAGCTTTTCCGCCTCGGTACATAATCCCTTCAGTGCCATGGCTCATTTCGAGAGACCCGTCTGTGGATAAATATCACTTTCCCGTCTTTGGATGCAAACGACCCTATTTTACCATGGCGTAAGAGCGCTCGAATGTGTTGTATATAGGGGTTCTCTTGAGGCCTCAAGACAGGCTGAATCCACTTCTCCTTGTCTGCGGCTCGACTTTCAAGATCTGATGCAACGCTTTGCCAGACTTTGGCAACATATTCGTCGGATCTGAAGAGACCCTCAATGCAGATCCCGTAAACCCATCTCATTTGTCACCCAACTCAAACCCCCTTTCCATTCCGTCGGCAGTGTCGAAAAAATTAGCCTCATACCATGGCGTAAGAGCGCTCGAATGTGTTGTATATAGGGGTTCTCTTGAGGCCTCAAGACAGGCTGAATCCACTTCTCCTTGTCTGCGGCTCGACTTTCAAGATCTGATGCAACGCTTTGCCAGACTTTGGCAACATATTCGTCGGATCTGAAGAGACCCTCAATGCAGATCCCGTAAACCCATCTCATTTGTCACCCAACTCAAACCCCCTTTCCATTCCGTCGGCAGTGTCGAAAAAATTAGCCTCATGCATGTCTTAGGAGTGCGTCTGGAGCAATGCACTCCTAAGACAACCGAAAGAGGGAATAATTCTCCGAGAAATTGACACTCACCTCAGATGTTGTACTGCGCAAGTGCACAGTACCTTCTCTTCTAGCAGCGTATCCGAGCATATGTTCGTTGCGTCCAGAGCGTCGAGCGCTTGTCTTACATTCTCATCAAGTGGTTTTAACTTTATGTTCTTCGCACGCCTTGGTATGACACCAAAGCATGTATCCTTGAACAGATTACGGTGTTGATGTGCGAGCAGAAAAGCACCTCTGAGTGTTGAGATGGCACCGCATATTATGTCGATTCCCTCTTTCGGAGAGAGGGGCTTAACACCCGTGCAATGTTTGAATTGAAAGATGGCGAAGAGAAACGTTACGCCGAAGACAGCAGTGCTGTTACTGGTGCTTATTTCGTCTACCGCTGATCTGAATTTCTCAGACGCTTTTGTTTGATACTTCAAAGCGAGAGGATAATAATTCAGGTGTGTCGCCGGGAAGAAATGAGCTTTATGAAGAGCGGATAATCCAAGGATAGCATGCATCAGGAATTCGTGCGATTGTGCTGCTAGTGGCAAGTCGTATTGCCATGCCTGTTTCATGGTAGGTTCATCTGCGACCATGCATGTAAGTGAAGTTGTTGTCTCGTAGTGGTGTAATAATTCAAGTGTTTCCAGATCTGGCGATGATGGCTGCGGAACAGGACTAAGGCCGAAGACTATTTCTCCGCTTCGGTACGGCTGGTCATCGCTTGAGCTGCTACTGCATCGATCGTCAGCCAATGACAACTTGGCAGGAAGGTCCCTCGACCTTCGAGCTTACCTTGGGGAATGCGGGGGGAAGAAGCGCAATGCGAAATCGCAGGCTTCTCCGCGTCTCCTACAATTGCTACATATCGGGCCAGTACAATCACACTAGAATTGTCAACCTCCTCTTTTTCATGTGCAAGTCAAGCAACTACTTACCCTTACTCGTCTTTTTTTGCACTGCCCACACGCATTCCTCGTCTTCGTATGATGTTTACGAGATCCTCCAGCCATCCCGAGCTTCAATATACCCGGAATTTCACACCTTGAAAAACTTCAGATAGGGACTAGTGTATGAGCTGAGCACGTCTTCGGCTGTCAACCATCGCATGCATCCTCAAGCTTATTTTGATGGGAGACTGATAGTCAAATACTCTCAAATGGACATGCGATCTTTGCTAAGGGTGGCTTAGCAATCGGTACTCAGACTGTACCGATTGGCTGTTCGCAACCTCATTCTTCGCATTTGGCTTAGTGTACGAGGTGCGCATGCAGAAGCGAGCCCCTGACTGCTGCTCCACACAGAATTTACGCGTCGACTTCAGTTTGCGTATGCATTGCGGCGCTTCACGGCGTTGAAATCTCGTGTTCCAAAAGGTCGGAGGAGAAGATTAAGGCCGGTGTCGATTTTGAGGCCGATACCGCCGACTTGAATAGAGCTTTCGCCGGTACGAAGGCGCGCGAGTGCAAATGATGAAGCATACGAGTCACGAGCAGGCATGCAGACGCAGGACACTTGAGGCTACAGCCTTGCACCAAGCATGAGGTCGTGTAGGCAGATGAAGGTGTTTTGCAGGTGCAGCCTTATATCAGGCAGAGAACTTGTGTCAGGCTGAGGCGCAGCCTTACTAACTTGTGCCTGACTGTAACTTAGCCTAGCGCAAGCTTTCGTGCCTCTTCATACGCTCTTCTCGTCTTATGCATAAAGAGGTACCAAAATTTGTGCCTCTTCTAGCTCCAACCTTGTGCCAGGCTGAGCTTGCCATGTTGAGCTTCAGCTTCAACACTTTGTGTCTTGCTGCGGCCTGGTGCTAAAACTTGTGCCTCTTTCAGCTTGACACGCGGCAACCAGGTACCTGGCTGCAGCCCGAGTTGTGTTAACAGATGAGGGTGTTTGGGGCTGTAGTCTTGTCTACTATGAATAGGTACCTGACTTGATGCCTAACAGGCGTGCTTTCGCGCAAACAAAATGTCTTCGTATCGAGTTTCAAAGCATAAGTAGAAGTAGTATCATTTCAAAACAATAGGACCATTTTCCCCAGCTACTCTTTACTTCCTGCAGACTTGCTTTACCCACAGATAATTTGGGATGAAAAACCTCGATCCCTCATCAAACATGTCTGTCATGCGAGCTATATGACACCGGGACTTCATCTTCTTTCAACATCCAATTGCGCACAAGCAAATATCTCGACCTCCACAGTAAAAGCAGAGAGTACATGATCTTTGACCGTTATCGTAGCCTGCTACATGTTCATGGTGTGCAGAGCGAGGGTTCGATGGCGGAGGGTTACGTGGAACTTTCTGTCTGGTCTCAAAATACTCGAGGAATCTCCAAAAAGTAAGATTTCTCTTACTAAAACCAAAAGCCCTCCAAAATGATCGCAATGCCTCTTCCAAAAAAAATTTCTCGAACGTTGCAAGCAAAAAACACCAAAAAAAAGCATTCGGCCGACACCTATGAGAATCGAACTCATGCTCCCAAAGGAAACAGCTTAGTAGACTGTCGCAATAACCACTCTGCCAAAGTGTCTTTCATTTTTGCTTGAGAATAATCTGCTTATTTAAATCTATATGATGCTTTTTGGTGCGTTTTAGGAGGTTCGGCGAGCTGAATAGGGAAAGGGTGAGAAAGGGAAGGAGTCATTCGGTCTAGACTTGAATTGTGGCTGGTGAGGCGAGGCTGTAATGGGAAAATGGAGGATAGAGAATGTCAGAAGGGAAGAAACTTGGTGTGAGGCGTAAGATGGCAAATTCTGATGAGGAGCAGAAGGAGGGGTTAGGATTTGAGGTTTGAGGTGTGGGCTTCGGGTTGAGTTGTGAAGGGGGCACGTGACTATGCCTTTCTCCTTATGGATGGGCGAGATTCATTTCATGGCGTGAGAACTTCATGAATATTTATACCATGCATTTGTTTTCGTGTGATGGATTATAGAATAGCTAGGTGTAGGGGTGAGGTGGGACTAGAAATCTGCTGCAGCTTTGTCACCAAACATGAACCTCACATTTCCTTGATTGCAAATTAATTGCAACTTAGAAGCAGGCATTATGAAACTTAAGCTCTTACTTCCTTCCAACTTAATGACTCTTCGTCATAAATTGATTGGGCTTTGAGCTGAGATGTTGTTCATCTTCAAAGGTAGCCAATCATATAATTCATCTGGGGAAGTCGAAAGTCCTTCAAAGCCAGGACAGGTTTTTGTTGCACATATTAAACTGCTACGGTAGTCTCTAGCGGCAAAATCTTGCCCTGTTTTGTCCTAGCTTCTGGGTGAATGTTCAGAAGTTGAAAGTGACCAACTACAATCAAAGAAGGCTGGAAAGTCCTCTCCGCATCCAGAACATTGGCAAGTTTCGTTGCACGACGCACGACGCGGAATATCTGCGGCTGCTTGATTTGGCCGCTACTGCCTCTATCTAGCCTAGACTCTTATGTGGCTCGAGTGAATGCCCTGACCCTGGAAGAGCTTTAAAAGAGTTTCGCTGCATGTCGTACGCCACGGAAGATCTGCGGCCGCCCAATTTTGTCCGCTACCACCACAATTTGGATTAGTTTGTTACCGATAAGTTGGAGAGGGTCCAGTGAGGTGATGGAGAGGATGTGAGCACCGAGCAATAGTTGATTTGGTAAGCAAGAGATCCTCTATAGTACAATTGTTGTCATCGACATAAATCTTTCTCCTCCTCCTTCTCCTCCTCGGTATCGAGCTTCTGCCGAGTACATTCTTCGTTCTTTCCGCCGCTTCAAGGTCGTTCATATGGGTGTCCTTCTGTAGCAAGCTCTTCTGTCTCATCGTGAGCTAGTCCCTTTCTCCGATACGCCGGGGACTACCTCCCGAAGATATTGTTTCCCCCCTCACCCATACTTGGTATCTGCTCAGAGTTCCCTTGCACACATAAGTCTAGATTCCCGGGAAATAATGGCCCAGCTTCAGCCTCGTTCTTCTCCGACCACGTAATGAAAGATAACAAGAATTTCGCGACCAATCTTCCGGAATTCTCACGTCCGAAGACGTCGAGACTGACTTCAACGTTGAGGGGCTTGTTGTGCTTTGATAGTAGAGGAGCTGAGGCTTTTAGCTGGGTCAATGGTTCAAAGGGATAGAAGGGGAACATACAATTTTCAAAGACCTTTTGCTTGATTTCGGAAACCATCGTCATCGCCGCTCCTTCGAAGGGAGGTATACCACCACTTACCCAACCACGCACAAAAGGATTGAAGCTATGCTGTTCATTCTTGTGTGTACGGTATATCGCGTGGAAGATGTGTGTCAGTTGTCCGAACGGTATGTCTTCCGTCGCCTGACATGATTTTCGTGGCTCCTCATTTGAGGCTACTTCCTGGTTTCCTGATCTAGCAAACGCGGTTTGCACCACTGCTAGCATTTGAAGACGCTCAAGGCAGACGCAGAGAACCAACATTGTGGCAAAGCAGACTGGCCAAGTTGATCTATCGCGACTTCGCATGAGTTTTTCCAGCAAGGCAAAAAGTTCCTCGGCGTACATCATGGCGAGTCGATAGAATATGCCTTTCGTTTGATGATTGAAGAGCCTGGAAGTATATACCTTTTCGGGCTCGGTCACAAACTTCAGAATATGCCCAGATTGAGCTGATGAGGTGGAGAACAGTGATGGTCGGGCAGCGAAGCGCAAGGCTAGGCAGAGGAGGAGAGAGTAGCGAATGAGTGGATGGTCCTGCTCGCATTAGCTCAGATTTGATAGACGATCCCCGGGTATATTACTTGACTCTGCTCGTAAAAAGGTTGCACAGCTGCCAAGACAATCTGCACCAACTCCGAGGATCGAAGGTTGGCATTGTGTACAGGGAAGTCCGAATCGCGAACGAGAAAGTTTAGCTTCTCCGAGTAGCTATTCGTGACCACGTGCACATCCGAGGTTCCCCGTCTCAGTGCAAAGGGTAGAGATTCGGCAGCAAGCCATTGTCCGTCTAGGCCGTGATAGAGCTTCAATTCCGGGGCGGCGTCGCTTGGGCGAAATTGACTGACGGGCACTGTCATCTCAATCTCTGATCCTACCCATCTAATCACGACTTCCATTGAGTCCGTGACCCATTCTGAGACCCAATTGTCCGTGAGTGTGGCGACATTCTGAAGGCGGTACTGATCGAACATGAAATCTTGAGTGACTGTAAGCTAATATCCAATGGCAGATACAGTAGGAAACATACCTGGAAAGAGAAAGGACATGAATACGCTGCTGAAAGTGCCCCTATTACAAAAGCGGTACGTGTGGCTGCCAGTGACGACCTTGTTTTGACATCGCTCACATCGAAATCCTTCGGAACACTGCTTCTATCAGAGGGCGGTCCATGTCATGGAGACGCCGGCTTCTTACCGGAACCTTCAAGACCCAACAATTCCAACAAGCCCCTAACTTTCTGACCTCTCGAGACTTCTCTAGGGTTTCTGAATCAAGAGCTCCTCGCCGTCCACCATGACGTCTTGCAACCTGTTCCTCATCCGAATCATGAGGCACAAAAGTTATCGAAGAGTACCCTCCAGAAGTGGTTGTGCTTATGGGATTGGCATTATACCCATCCGAGGGCAAATTAAATGCCATTCTCTGTTGGTGAGGGCCCGCATCGGCAGCTGATGGTGGACGATTCGGTAAAGTGCCTTGCTCTTCTGGTGCGCTATCGACCGGGTATAGCAAAACACCTCCGAAATTGCGAACGAAGCTGTCACGCAACCCTCCTGGTAACATTCCGAATATCTCTCGTCTGGTGTCAATAGTACCAGCATCTTCATGGATATCGCCGCCCACTCTTGTAGGCATCTTCGAGATCGTATCGATGCCGAACTTTTGCGCTAGAAATCCGTTGAACGATCCATCCGGTAAGGAGCAGGTGCCTAAGCTCAAAAGGAAGTCTTTGGTGCCCCTAAATCCAAGAGCAGCCCAGGACTTCAAGCGTACCATGCCATGTATCTGTTCGAGAGCCGCGGTAGCCACTGGGTCGTCTCCTTCATATTGAAGCATGGCGTCAGACTTCGATGACCAACAGAACACGCTGACCAAGCCTTTGTAGGCGCTGGATATCGTGAGTGCATGATCAACAGTCCACGGACTTACCTCCTCGTAACTATCTCTGATCACGTAGGCATCGGTCAATATAGACTTCGCGATGCTGAATACGAGAAGGGCAAAGAAAGCCGCGAGTTGCGAACTCCCTGTTAATTTGGCACGACCAGCACATATCTTCTCGAAGCTGCGAAGAAAGAACTCCACATCCTCTTTGAGATCAACCATTACCAGCGTATTAGGCGCACCACGGGTGTCGAATGGCATCGGACCTACGACTTGGCCAGTAGCTATTTGACCACATAGTCTTTCAAGCAGGTACAGCTCGACGGATTGCCGCAGTATTCTCTTTGCTTGGAAGAAAATATCCCAGCGCGTCTAGAGTGGTAGTTAGCAAGCATCTTCGTCGATTTCTGGGAAACATACTCGATCATTCTGTGAGCAATAATTCCCAACCCGAATAAGACTAAACAAGTTGTAGGCAGTCTTCATGAGATATGTTCTATCCATCGAGACCAGTTGTAACACAGCCCATAGGGCCTCATAGTCCACCAGGATAGCATCAATCAGGAGTTCGTCCATCTCATATTGGTCAAGTGAGATAGCAGAGTGGCTTATGGATTCGCGAATGGAAGTGTTCTCCCAAGTTGAGCTTAAGAGCATTGCAAACTCAGATCGGGTTTTGATCAAGTGCATAATGCGTTGCTTCTTCTGAAGTGAGACTCGTGACCTTGTCAGAACAAAATTGATGGTTTCGATACCACTCATGGGCTGCTTGAATTTCCTGGTTGTAGCTCGCGAGAAATCCGGGCAGAATATATCGACCATGTCTCGCAGGTGGCCTCGAAAGCAACCAAGCACTTTCCAGAAGTCACTCTCGCTGTCGAAGCCTTGCGTAGGACAGTGACTGCAGGGATCTGAACCGTCACACTACTTATTTTAGCAAGTTTCTGGGTATATTACTCTACAACTCGCCTTCTTCTTGAGTATGCGACATCTGAGGCATGGTGGTGTTTCTTTCGACATATATCGCACCCGCTTCGTGCGACTCGGGCTGGTGCCAGAAGACCTGACCGGCGGAGTGACAGAGAAGACATGAAAGCCGTCAGAATCCTCGCCAGTCCTCTTCCTGCTGGTGACAGGAAGAAGAGCATGCTCTTGTCGGGGTGTATTGGTGGCAGATCTGGGACTTGCCGCTAGCCACCTCAAAAACTCTTCATGGTCTACAGCATCGAATTCAGACCTGGAAGAGTCTTCAAGACATCGTCTAGCCGTACTTGCTTTGCCTATTGGAAGTGAGCATATTTAGCATTTCTGGAGCTTGGTGCAACTGGCCTGCCTTGGAGAGCTCATCCTCCATCAAATTGATCTTCTGTCGCAGAATTCGGCATCTTTCCTCGATTGTTTGTTTTTCCTGTACCTCTGAGATGTGGTCAGCCTTGAATCGGTATTCGTTACGGAAAGTGTACCTTTCCTCAAGACTCTCTCGAGGAT